TTGTTAGAGCAAATAAGTGTACCTAAAACAGCACACGGTCACCCATGAAACTTCAGCATTAAAAAGAGGATACTGAGAGCATGATAATAACGGGCAGATTAGTCTTTCGAATGTCAAAACGTGTCAGAAATGGATGTTTTGCAGTTGCAAAAGCGTGTTAAGTCCAATATGAGCACAATTGCGGCGATTTTCTCCATTCGTCTTCCGATGTCATTACGTAGTCATAGACACCATCCTCTTGACTGCTCACTTTCAGCGCATTCAAAAATTCTAAGGTTGGCATTGTATCAGGGAAAAAGTCGAATGTTGCTCCCATATATCCTTTTTTGGACATATCGGGCCCAGATGTTCTTTCAAATACATTCCTTTGGGCATTCCAGACTCAGACCTTCTTTTAGATTAATTAGTTTTGGACATTCTAATCGCTGTAATAGTCTATTAATTTTAGATTGTTCTAATAAGAGTTGTCTTTCCACAAAAGTACGGGTGCAGCGCCGTTTCAACCGCCCATGTATTACATTTGCTGCTTTGATGTCAGGGCAGGGGTGTAGTTTTCTATTCAAATGGGCTTCAGTCCCCCCCCCCCCTCCCCCGCCAGCTTCGAACAGAAAGTGGGAGGGGGAATCCGGGATATCCTAAATTATTATCTTTAAAAAGACCCTCGTTCCGTTCAAATAAGCGCTGTTTGCGAAGTTTTGGGCCTAAAAACAGGGCCACTCGCAGAGTCTTGACCTAGAATGAGGGCCATCTCGCGTGCAGGGGCTATTCACGCCTGTTCAGCAGCGTAGCCAGGATTTGTCCCAGAAGGGTACCAAATCGGGTCACAAGGGGCCTTCCAGTCAAGAGACTTCTTATCACTTCAACGCCCTGTTTTTTGGCAAGCGTCTTTCTCCGAGAGTCTTGGCATCCGAACGACTCTCTCCTAAGGTCCAGAAGTTTTAGGACAATCTCCGGTGGAATGAATCTCTAATAAAGAGAGGGTCATGCTTTGTCTATCCGGGAGCTCATTTTTGTCTCAGGATCCTATTTCGATGGCTTGGAGCCGTTTTTATATTTTGGAAGGTGGTTAGATGTCTGAAATTGACCAAATTTATCTGAGGGCCCCGCGACCTCCGGGAAGAGGAAGGGGGGAGGCATGGATCCACCCTCACCCCCGCCCCCTCTCCACACCTCCCCCACCCCTTATTGGCTACCCCATTGTGCCTCTTCAAGTTTAAGGTAGCAGTGGAATATATGTGGTGGCTGGAACCATTCAAAAATAGAGATGGTAAAATGTGGGTGATCGCAAGAAGCTCAGTCTCATAGACAGGACCGTCGGAGACATCGGGGCTTCTCTGGGCGATTCTCAGGCTGTGCGCCTGCTCCGATCATGGAAAACTCGATGTACCCTCTTTGCTGGTTTGCCTTTTTACCAAACTCCTGAGAAACGATGCCGAAGGGTTGTTAGACCATCTGAAAATGATTACATTGGAACAAATCCCATTGCAAGAAAAATGATCTGTCCTTTGTCAGAACACGTTGAATTAAGTTACCACATACAGCGCCAAAGCTAGGTGCCAGGGCTTTCATGACCCTTTAAATTAACTTTACATCGCCATCGCACCGTGTGAGATATTTCCAGTTTCGGTAAATGCCCATCTACGGCGACAATAGCGCCAAATCCACCAGGTCTCTGGGATGGGATTTTTTCTTCGGAGCGGCTTGCAAACCATAGTGGTGCTTAGATTTCAGATAAATCGACATGACGGTTATCCTGCATGTGTCTCACCAAATCCGTACATGTCGCTTGCAAGGATATACTGCCTTCATTTCGAAAAACCGCAAATCGCCGGTGCTGATATTACCGTCTGGGGACCGAAGTCCAATTCGTTTCGTTTCTTGTCACTCCGTTGATCTCTTTTGGCGCCCGATGGCGAAATCTCTGTTACAGGTAAATGTTCGAAAACACCCGGGGATTTCCCAGTGAATTTTCATGTGGTTACAGGCTTTCATGGCTGAGGCCAGCTATGCTCTCACGTCGGCGGTAAGCTCCATCCTATCTGAGTTTTAACCCAGCGCTGTCTGATCCTTAGCCGGCCTGCTCCACTCTCGCAGTGGCTGAGGAAGCCCGGTCCAGAGCGGTTGTCAAGATGGCTTGCGTTGCTCGTGAATCCTCGAAAGGTTCCAAGGATGTCTTGAAGTTGTAAATGCTGACCAATGCTACATTTGCCTGACCTAGCAAACACCATCTTCTCATAAGTGACATTGGTTTCTGTGACATAATAGAAGAGTTCCGTTGTAAGACAATCTATGTACATATGTGTACATGCTCTTACATATACAAGAGTAGCAGTAGTGAATACATGAGTGGGGCCAAAATAGCTGATGTTCAATGACGTAACATTTCTAATTTGATTCCATTGGCGATCTTTTGTGGTACAACACGAATGGCAATGTATTGCTGAGCGAAACATTTAGTCCCGTTGTAGGACAAACATCAACGTAGGGAAATAGCAAGTGAAACCGAAATCAGTGAAAAGTGAACGTAAAAGATATAGAATATGATCTTGAACATACGCGTTTGCAAGCCTAAAAAATCGGAACGCCGACGCCAGCCTTCGAAGTCTCCAAAGGGCGCGCGTTGTTTTGGCCTGGTGGTTGATCTTAAGTGGCGTCAATGGAGGACGAAAATGGAAAGAAGTATTTTTGAACGCTTTAGGGCATCAATCCGTATAATAAAAGGGACGGATAAGCATTTACACTGGCGTGAACGTGTGCTGGAGTCTGGTTGTGGTGGAACTGGTAAAGTAAAGCTGGAATTCGATTTTTCGTGTTGCTATAACTGTTAATCCGCTCAGAGGACAGCCTCGATATCACTCAGGTGAAGTTGACACCTCGTCCGGTCTACGAACGGCAGGAATCAATTTTGAATGACTCTCTGAAGCGTGAGTTCACGGCGGTCATTTACTCCCGCCCGTCGCCCGCCGCCTCGTGTTATCTGCAGCGGGCAACGCCATTCCGTTTTCACAGAAGCTGCAGCCCCAGTCATCAGTGGCCTTGCTCCTAATGTTTCGAGCGCACAGGCTCCAAACTTTCTATAATTTGTTTCACTAGCCGCTTCTGTAAAAGGATGGACATCCTCAGGCAAATATGGGATGGGATCTTATCTCATTTCGATCCCCCCATTGAACACCTATGATACCCCTTACCGTTTTGGGACAGGGAGCTCCGTGGGAGGAACACTTTGGAGAACATCATCGTCGGAGGTCAGGAACTGAAGAGGGACTCCGTCCCAGCGCGGAATGCCTACCGGCTGCCAGTTTGGCGACACAGAGGCTTTACAGAGGCAGAGGCTTCCCTTTACAGGATAAATCATACAATGGTCCTCTTCCCGACGCGAGAGGCCCTCTGACCCAGGCAGCTGGGACCGGATTGACGCAGGGCCCACATTGGCGCAAAATTATCCGTTATCACCGTAGGGGGTCAAACAACTGACACAGATACTACAGTTCTGCTTAAAGAATCCTCGCCTTAACTGGGGTGGGGAGCCTTGATTCGGTACTGGGTCCTTGACTGGCGCAAGACCCTTTCACTGTCTCCTTGTGGAGTCTCATCGTAAGTTCTCATATCTCCTTACACTTGCTCTGGCATCCGGGGTCTCGCCCTGCCCCTGTTCAGCAAATGTTCCCCTACGTGACCCGGGTTTCCTTGTCTTGCCTAACCATTGTCAGGGACTGTGGGCTCCCGACCGACACAGGGAGGACCTCATTGTTGCAAGGACCCAATCAGTGCCAACCGCAGGTTCCGGTCTTTCCTACTTGGGAGATGGGCCCCCAGGGTTCAGACCGGACACGGAGCGGGCTGTTCGATGTCGGAGGTCCCTGGCCGAAGTAGAGGCAGACGCTGTAATTCATTGAGATACAATGCCGTCCAATCGCTGATTTTACGGCCGAGTAAATAGGCTCGCTAAAGTATAGGGGACCATTGGTTAGGAAGAGGGGCGCATCGGTTTGAGGAGCCCTTCGTTAATTATTTGCCCCCATCCCAAATTCCGCGCCTGTCTAGAACATACTCCAGCAAAAGCTTTGCGGGGGGGGGGGGAGAAATGATGCACTAGCGTGTCAAGAAGCAGATTCCACCCGAATGTGCTTAAGAAGCTTCTGGACATTATATCCCGGCTCATTTGTTTCCTGGTCCACCAATATTATCTCGTAAGAACTACCAACAAATGCACACTGCAGTTTTACGGAAGGATTTAGGTGAGGTATAAGTTTCACGGACGGATTGATTGTTCGGGCTATGGTCGTCGGCTGGTGTGATACTCGGCATGTACAAAATGTTTCGACCAATTAACTCTCCAACCGTCGCCAGGTGCTACCAAGTCCAGAGAAGAACTAGATGATTCTTGACTATGTGCGTAATGCACACACACACACACACACACACACACACACACACACACACACACACACACACACACACACACACACACACACACACACACACATATATATATATATATATATATATATATATATATATATATATATATATATATATATATATATATATATATATATACATATATATATATATATATATGGAACGCCTAATGACGGCCGGATGATTGACTGGCCAATACCTTGTGCACATACCAGACGGGACGACATGCCGAACGACTATTCCATTGGTGATATGCGGTCTGGCGTAAAGAATGAAGGTTCTGGCATGACTAACAATTTTGTTTTATGCAAAATCTCTCTAAACTTTTAAAAAAGGCAGCTGAAAAGGCACAATCAAAAACTTTGCCGTCAGCCCACACATCAAACGCCCAATCAGCACGCGAATGACGTCACGCATTCTAGCTGCTAATCGTCCTGACGGCAGATCGAACTTTCTTTAATTACTTTACCTTTCGTCACGGTTGTTATATATGGTAGCAGTTGTTAATATGGTAGCAATTCATTGCGACCATTCCTGGCATGATGGTTTCATTCATGAAGTACGATATACTTGTGGTATATGTGGCCCCCTGGGCTTACGTTTGTGTATATTGAACGGTTCGATAGAGTGAGCGCATTCGACGACGACGTACAGTTATATTGCATCATGTATAACAAGGAGAAATGTTTCGGTTTTGAATTTCCATACCGTAGGGTCGTATCTTCACAAAACTGACCGGAAGGCGTGTCGTGGGGTTGATCAGCCCTCGCCTTAGAGTACACACAAACATTTGTTTGCCATCAGGTTGTACTATTTAGGCCAATGGATTACACCATCTGGCAATATTTGATGTGCAGTATTTTTTCTGTTTCTGTAAGATGTGTATTGCCTGGGGGAACAGAAGAGTCAATTAGAAAACAGTCTGCTTATGATATGTACTTATGCATGCTGCTATTTTTGTTGTTTACATGTAGGTCATGTGCAAAATACAAACACACACCTCCAGCTTAGCAGAAAAATGCAGCAAACAATATTGGGGCTACTAAATCAGTAATCTGAGTGGTGGAGAGTTTGGTGTAAAGTTGTCACCAATTTAACTGCTTCAACAGTACATGTTTCTAGGGGTTTTGATAAGGTAAAGTTGATTTTAGGCAAACATACTCCCAACCTTTTTCATGCAAGAATTATTGAGAATTTTGAAATTTTGGCTTAGTGTGAGTCTGAGCACTCCAGTGGAAGGTTTAGCATATATTTTACCTAGGCTTACAGCACAGCAGATGAACATGTTTGCACATTGGACTCAATTGGTTAGGGCACCTATATACTGGTTCACAGACCTGTGGCTGGCGAGTCTGAGTGGCCTTAGGCACAGTGTGTTTACCCTTGACAGGTTTAGCCTGAGGTGGGGATAAAGGTTGGGATGATATCAGGGGGCAGGACAGATGGTGCAGACCATTACAGCACATTTAGATCTTACCACCAAATTCTGTTGTTTATATGGCATCGCATGATTGGGTGATAGGGGTCAGGGCCCACACAATATGCAATGCTCAGTGTGAGCTCTGATCCCAAAAATCCATGCATTCATTAGGTTCAGATGAAATCTTCCAAAAATGGCCACTTTTGCACTGTCCCCAGCCTATATGCTATTGGTTGCCCATGGTTTTACAGCTACAGTAATGAATTTAATGTTTTCTCCCATTGACTAATACTAAGGTATAACAATGTAAGAAGAAATGTGATGACAAATGACAAAAGGGAGTGTACTGTTTTATTCATAAGAGAATACCATGCCTTTCTATACTGTTGAATAAAATCATTAGTATGATCTGTTCACACTCTTAAGGAGAGGTTTGCCAGATATTAAAATGTGCTGCTTCTGCTAATCTTTGTTAATCAATTGTTAATCAGTGTGAACAGATCATTAGTATGATCTGTTCACACTCTTAAGGAGAGGTTTGCCAGATATTAAAATGTGCTGCTTCTGCTAATCTTTGTTAATCAGTGTGTTTTCTGCCCCTCCGTACTATCATCCTCCATGGCCTAATCAGTGGGCTTCAAGATATGCCTGCTTAAAAGGCTCATAGGATTTTCATAGTATCAAAATTTGAGATTTCGAAATTCTCATAGGATTGTCAGCAATGCTGGGGATTTCTGTCACAAGAATTGGACCAGTGCAGCATGCAGATGGTTTTAGTGCATTGTAGACAATGTATTGAGTTTTCAGTAAATTTTGATCCATCATACTTTTTCAGCCATTTGGACAACTAAATCATCTCTCTGGGTGATGGCTGGTTTGGAACTTGAAGAACTTGAGGTGAGTGTATATCCAGTGGTTTCAGGTCTGTGTGTGATTGAGGCTTTATGACGCACTCAGCTGCTGAGGCTATATGGCGTCGCCTGCCTCTCACCCTGGCAGGAAGGGCGGGCACCGCGGGGAATCGAACCCCATACCTCTGGTTTCCCAGACGCAAAGTAGTCAACGCAGACGCGCTAACCACTACACTACCGGCGTCCGTGGTTTCAGGTCATTTGAATGTGTTAGCAAACTGAGAAATGGTAGTCTCTAATATTTGGCTAGCAATATGTTGCAATCAGCTGGTTATTTTGAAAGTCAAAATCATCTTTAGATGTGTGCTTTTGAAGACTATTTTTTAGCAATGACCTCTTTGCCCAGGGCAAAGGCAGTATCAGTTCAAGCTCAGGCACCCACAAACTTTGTTTTGTGGAGAATATGTGATTTAAAGGACTCTATTGCATATTGATTCTCTTATGGTATGCATTATTGTGATCATATGAGTTCAGTTAGGTCAGTTTATTTAAGCTCAAACTGTGAAAAGCAGTCATCTTTCCGGGAATGATTTTTGATGTATCATGGCTTGGTTTGGCATATTTCAAGCAACATGTGCACATGTTTAATACTATTTTGCATAGTGGGATCCATTGTTGGTTTTTTCGTTGTTATACCATAATGATGGCGATGGTTTCGGGTTTGGGTTTTTTGGCACATCAACTACAAATGATCATGCAGCATCCATGTCATTTAGGGCTTTGGTCACAGTTCATACCCACTGATGCCATTGACATAGATTTCAGCATCAGATTTCAGCATGTCTAGGTACATTACCTTTTTAAGATGTGGAGGGTCTCTGGCATAATTCTAGACATAAGAATAAGACATAAGACAACATAAGACATAAGAACAAATAAAATCAATTGCATGCCAATTATTATATTTTTGACATTGGAAACAAGCTAAGATGAACAACATACTTGATGCCTCAAGCCATCTCTCAGTTTTTTAATAAGTGTTTTATGTTTGGAATGAAATCAACCCACAACTTTTAAGTGGCACAAAGTTGGAAGCTCGCTATTCATCTGGGCTTGTTTCAGATGTCAAAAATATTATCATTTGCATGCATTTCACACTATTTGTTCACATTTTAATGTCCGTGATATATTTCCCCAGTGTCACGACGCACATAGATCTGAGTGTGGCAGATAGGCTTAAATGCACAAATTTTGTGCCATTCTGCCCTACCCAAGGTCATCTGCACTGGCATTCTACGCCACTGACCTGACTCAGGTCTTCGTATCGGGTTATTCGTTCCCGCGTTTCACTTGACTGGTACGTTTAATTTTCAAGGTATAGGAAAAGGAGGAAGGGCGTGGAGTGGGGTTTAAGGCTCTTCCCATCCCGCGCAGGCGAGAAAAAGCATTCGTCCGGCGAGTGATAAATGTTTCGTGCCCTGTGAAGCTTGTGTTGCTGCGTTTCCAGACACGTGTGAAAGATCTGTATCGGTTTCGGGACCAATACTTCGAGAGTCATGACATCACAGAGGCAGACAAGAAGCAGGAAAAGGTTCAGCGCATGCTTGATGAAGTCATTGAGTTTGCCACCAGCTGCAAAGGTAAGTGACGCGGACGTTTGTTAACGTTGCCCATGTGCGACTCCGGGGACCTGGATCTGTGCGTAGTTGACTGACAAAACTCCCATAGGATCTCACGATCTGACCGATAGGAAGTTTCGCAAAACATCTGAAGCGAATTCTCGTGTTTTTCTGCATTCTACGTATCATTACGGCCGAAAATAAGACACAAGGACAACTCCAGCCCACGTGCCAGAAATCGTTTGCCGGTGCCCGTGGCCTAGGTGAACGAGAATGACCTTTTGAGGCCGTCTACGAGACCGCTGGGTCGTAAGTCAGCGGTACTGGATGAGAGCTCCAGCATGTGAACATTACTCGGATCTGCTGACGACGAACCGCTAGCTGGAAGCTGGTGACATGGTGTGAGCCAGGCCCGGTGTGATCGTTTCACGACACTGCACGGTATGCCAAATTGCCCGTAATCTTAATTAAATCGTGCGCACCAGGAGCTAGAGTTGTCCGATGCACTGGGACGCCTTACGGCCGCTGGCTCCCGGTCGCACTCAACAAGCGCAGCCGCGGGCCGAGGAAGCCTGATTGAGTCTGCTGGCCGCGGGCCAGGGAAGTCTGAGTAAGGCTGCTGGCCGCGGGCCGGGGAAGCCTGAGGAAGATTGCTGGCCGCGGGCCAGGGAAGTCGGAGTAAGGTTGCCGGCGGCGGGCCGAGGAAGTCTGAGTAAGTTTGCTGGCCGCGAGCCGAGGAAGTCTGAGTAAGGCTGCCGGCCGCGGGCCGAGGAAGCCTGAGTGAGTCTGCTGGCCGCAGGCCGAGGAAGTCTGAGGAAGGCTGCCGGCCGCGGGCCGAGGAAGTCAGTAAGTTTGCTGGCCGCGGGCCGGGGAAGTCTGAGAAAGGCTGCTGGCCGCGAGCCGAGAAAGTCTGTGTAAGGCTGCTGGCCGCGGGCCGAGGAAGTCTGAGTAAGTTTGCTGGCCGCGGGCCGAGGAAGCCTGAGTAAGTCTGACGGCCGCGGGCCGAGAAAGTCTGAGCAAGGCTGCTGGCCGCGGGTCGAGGAAGTCTGAGCAATGGCTGCTGGCCGCAGGCCGAGGAAGTCTGAGGAAGGCTGCTGGCCGCGGGCCGGGAAGTCTGAGGACGGCTGCTGGCGCGGCCCGGGGAAATCTGAGGAAGATTGCCACTTTCAGATGAGCAGGCGAACTGCGTTTCATCGAAACTCTTCCCTCTGAATTGTATTGAAGCGGACTCCACAGCGCATGGATGCGGCCCATCTAGTATCGATTGCCGAAGGAGACGGACTCCGTCACCTTGCTCTTTTGCGTTATCTTCATCAGAGAAACTCATTCCACATCTGTTGTCACTACGTGTGTCCAACGCCGCACAAGATGTCGTACAGTACGGCTAGTAACTCGTGAAACTAAAACAGTGGAACTGCTACCGTTTACCTGGCTTCGCCCGGTTCACCCGAATATTCATGTATGCAGCCACGCATCGGCGGCTGACATCGCTGTAAATAATTTAAATGAAAATAAAAAGCTCCATGGCTATCAGCATGCTGTGAGCGCCCGCACAATCGGTCGGCGCGCAGAAGTGCGTAGAATTCCCCGAGCATTTCCTCGTAAGTTCCATTCGTAATATCTCACCACGCACCACTCATGAGTTACATTTGTTGATCGATTTTTGCCAACTTCTACCATGGGTGTCCATGAGTATTCCAGACTGATCCCTGCTGGACGGACTGCCTAACGATTCTCGCCGTCTGGCTTTGGTGTTGGGTCTAGTACTGGTGCTGGGCCGGTCCTCAGCTCGAATGGCATAGGCATACACCCAACCCTGTCCCCTACCTAGCGCTCAACACTCGTCCAAAACCGTTACTTTTTTCGACATACGTAGGTAGAATGGGTTTTCATGACTTCTGGAGAATGTGAAATGCTGAGAACATGAATGATCAAATGACTGTTTTGGGCCCGCAGCCAGCGGCAAACTGTGTGCTCGGGTACGATAGCCAAGTGGGCTCTAAACCTGCCTAAGGCCGTTGCGTCCCCCCATCCAGGACGAAAGACTACATGATCGCGTAGTTTTTCCGGTCCTATGAAGCCCACATTGTACAAATCGGTTACAAGCGTTCGTACCATAACTGAGTCTATCTAATATGTGGCCATGTTTGCCAATGATGTTGCGTAAATTTCGATACATCCGCTTCTTTGTGTTGTTTGCTTGGGGCATAGGTAACTGGAGATAAATAATTGATTGATACATATAAGTATGGATGTCTTCAAGGCAGCAATACGATAATTGCGCTTAAATTTCCTACAAAGGGTCGGCAAGATAACACAGATTGTCACACTGGTCTGTTTCAGAGCACGTTCTGGGCTATTTAGGGTACAGTACATTTAATCTTTTCAGTTGGAAATTTCCTCACGCGACTCGTATACTCGAGGGGCGTTAAGATCCAGATGCCTCCTAAACCTGGTTTGTTTTGTGCATGCTGATCCCACCGCCCAAATTGTCGGAACTATGGGGGAATTTTGGCCCCAGCTGTCAGCCAAATTATCCGAACTGAGGGGCAATTTTGGCTCCAGCTGTCAGCCAAATTATCCGAACTGAGGGACAATTTTGGCCCCAGCTGTCAGCCAAGTTATCCGAACTGAGGGGCAGTTTTGGCTCCAGCTGTCAGCCAAATCGAACTCCGAGGGTCACCATGCTGTCATGCAGTGTCATGACAAAGCTACACG